TCGGCGTGGGCTCCGCCCCCAGCCCGGGACACGCCGCCCGCCCGTGCCGCCGCCGGCTGCAGCACCCCAGTGCCCGGTCTTCCCGGGCTTTTGAACACTGGACGTGTCGGACACCGCCCTGGCATAGACAAAAGGCACGTGGTGCCCGCGCTGCTGTCTTCCGGCGGGGGAAACGAGATGGTCGCAGACAATGTTCCGCCTCCATTTTCCTCGCTGTGCTGCTCCGGCGGGGCTTTGTCCGGATTCCCTGGTCGGCTGGGACCCGGCCACGTGCAGTTTGGAGAGTTGGCCCTTCAGCCTCCCGGTCTGGGTTTTATTGACTCATTGCGAGGCTCATGCCAGTCACCGCACCTACTCTGAGGACATCTGAGGATCGCAGTTCGAAGCCAGCCCTGGGCAGGAAAGTCTGTGGGACTCTTTTATCTTCCATAAACTACCCCCCCCCCAAAAAAAACAGCCAGAAGTGGAGCTGTGGCTCAAGTGACAAAGCACCCCAACCTTGAAAGAAAAAGCCAAGGGACAACACCCAGGCCCTGAGTTTTCAATCCCAGGACCGGGATTATAGAAAATATAAATAAAACAGCTGGGTGTACAAAGGCTAGATACTGTGCTGGAAGCTAAATTCAAAACCCTTGAGAAGCAGTTGAGACTGCATTAGTGAAAGAACTAATTGCTAGAGGACATAGTGATCATCCACAGATATTGAGGGTGTCGCTCTATCTCAGAAGGCATGCCTAATGCATAGGGAAGAAAAGTTGGAGCTGGGCACCGGTGGCTCACACCTGTAACCCTGGCTTCTCAGGAGGCTGAGATCTGAAGATCGAGGTTCAAAGCCAGCCCGGGCAGGAAAGTCCATGAGACTATTATCTCAAAAAAAAAAAAAAAACCACCACTAGAAAACCAGAAGTGGTGCTATGGCTCAAGTGGTAGAGCTCTCACCTTGAGCTGAAGAGCGCAGGGACAGCGCCCAGGCCACGAGTTCAAGCCCCACGACCGACCCCCCCCCAAAAAAAAGGTTGGAGTGGGGCTTGAGGATATGGTCTCCTGGGTTTGTGATTCCCAGCTCCATCACTCTGGGGGGAGGGGAGGAGGGGGAAGGGAGTGTTCCTCTTCTGCAATATGGGGCTTATGCTTGTTTCTGTGAAGACTGAATAAATTGATTCAATGTAAAACATTGTTACAGTAAACCCAACACACTAAGTTCATTCAATCATGAGAAAAAAAACACTCCTGCTTCCCACATACCTGACAAGGAGCAAGCTTCTCCCACCAACCAACTCCTACCCACCTTCGGCTCACAGCTCAAGTTTCACCAACTCCCAGAATTCAACCTGGACCCTTATCTTCTACCTGCTGCATACCATGGATAAACCTCTTCTTTGTGTTACCATTTTTTGGAGGGGTTGGTTGTGGGGCTTGAACTCTAGGCCTGGACCATATCCCTGAGCTCTACAGTTCAAAATGAGCACTCTACCACTTGAGCCTTAGCGCCACTTCCAGTTTTCTGGTGATTAATTGGAGATAAGAATATCACAGACTGGGCTGGGAAGATGGCTCAGTGGTGGAGTGCTTGCCTTGCATGCATGAGGCCCTGGGTTCAATTCCTCAGCACCACATAAGACGAAAAAGCTGGAAGCAGCACTGAGGCTCAAGAGGTAGAGTGCTAGCCTTGAGCTGAAGAGCTCAGGGATAGCACCCAGGCCCAGAGTTCAGGTTCCACAACCGACAAAAAAAAAAAAAAAAGAATATCACAGACTTTACTGCTCGGGCTGGCTTTGAACCTCAATCCTCAAATCTCAGCCTCCTGAGTAGTTAGGATTTACAGGTGTTAGCCACCAGCACCCACCTTAAACATCCTTGCTTATTTTGCATTTTGTCACGTTAGTGCAATCAGTCTCTTCCTTTAAAAATGGAAGTTATTTAAGGTCAGGTGCGATTTCTTACTTATCTTCCTGTTCCCAGATGGCAGCAACCAGATTCTACAGACCTCTGTCCTCTGTGTGTGTGTGTTTGTATACATAGGTATGTATGCAATATGTGTATATGTGTGTACTGTGTACATGTGTGTGTTTAGAATATAGCTCCACCTCACTCCTAAGCTCATTATAGTTCATGCTAGCATGTTTGTCTTCTTAAAACTTATAGTTTGAAATTCTAACCCCCTAGAAGGTGGATGCTTTGGTGACACGTCTAGGATTTTAGAGCAGAACAACCTTCAGGAATGGGAGTAGCCCATATAAATGAAGTCCAGGGCTGGGAATTTGGCTCAGTGGTAGAGCGCCTGCCTTGCATGCATGAGGCCCTGGGTTGGATTCCTCAGCACCACATAAGCAGAAAAAAGCCAGAAGTGGTGCTGTGGCTCAAGGGGTAGGGTGCTAGCCTTGAGCTGAAGAGCTGAGGTACAGCGCCCAGGCCCAGAGTTCAGGCCCCACGACTGACAAAATAAATAAGTAAATAAATTCCAATGTGGTGGTGCTCAACTGTAATCTCAGCTACTAGGGAGACTGAGACTGGGGATAACATGTTAAGGTCAGTCTTGGTAACTTAGGCGGGGGCCCAATAGAGAGATAGATTGATTTATTGAGTTTTAAAAAAAACAAACAAACTAGTTTTATAGCTCAATAGTATAGTGCTTGTCTAGCATTCAGGAGGCCCAGTGTTCAATCCCTGGTACACACACCTTAAAAACTGCTTTGTCCCTTCAGCCATGTCCTGTGAGGACACAGTGAGAAGTTAGCTGTCTGCAAACCAGAAGAGAATCCTCCCCAGAACCTGACCAGGCTGCCAGCCTGATCTTGGACTTGCTGCTTCTAGAACTGAGAAATTTCTCTTGCTTATAAACCAGCTAAGTTAGGGTCTGCTGGTTGTGGGGCTTGAACTCTGGGCCTAGGCACTGTCCCTCAGCTCTTCAGCTCAAGGAAAACACTCTACTACTTGAGCCACAGCACCACTTCTGCTTTTCTGGTGGTTTACTGGAGATAAGAGTCTCACAGACTTTCCTGCCAGGACTGGGGCTTTGCACAGTGATCCTCAGATCTCAGCCTCCTGACTAGCAAGGATTACAGGCATGAGCCACTGGCACCTGGTGTCAAGTTAAGGTCTTTTGTTGTAGCAGCTCAAATGACTAAGGTAGTCTTCTCTTTCCCACCACTGTACCAGAACTTTTGTCTCCAAGGTCACCAGCAATCTCCTCCAGGTTAAATTCATTTTCTACTTTTAAGTCCTTTCTCCCTTGCCCCTTCTGCTACATGAATCTGTGAGTCATTCTTTTATCACCAATCTCTCCCACTCCTTTGCTTTTCCTCCTACAATTCTAGTTATTCCTCTTCAGGCTCCTTCCAGGCTTTCTCTTCTGTCCATCATTGGAATGTTGAGTTGTTCTCCAGAGTTCTGTCTGGATGTCTTCAGTCAGCACTTACAGACTCTCTTGGGGGTTATCTCTTCCGTGCCTGTGACTTCAGCTAGCACTTTTTGCTGATGACTGCTAAGTCTTGATCACCAGCCCACATCTCCTTGCTGAAGTCAATACTTATGCACACACCATTCACTGGACATCTCTAAATAAAAATTTACAAAAGAAAACAGCTCTGGGCTGGGGATACAGCTCTGTGGTAGAACAATTGCTTAGTATGAGCAAGGCCCTGGGTTCAATCCTCAGCACCAAACGAATTTTTAAAAAAATAATGAAGATCTTCAGATGACTCAATTCAGTAGATTTAAAAGTCAGTTCATTATGAAATTTCAGATCTCTTCATCTTCTGCTCCAAATCTCAGTAAACAGCATCACCCTCTAACCAGCCCCAAATCCAAGTATCCTGGTTTCCTGACAGCCCCTGCTGTCTCATTCCCTCAAGGGCTCTTCCCTGACTTCTGTTTGTTGTAACTTCCACCTGTGATCCACTGAGTGTTTACAATATCAGCACTTCACACAGAGCCATCCAGAATATCCAGAACAACCCTGCAAAGTAGGAGTCATTGTCATCCCTACTTCACAGATGCAGGATTTGAGACACAGGAAGGTTGAGTAAGTCACCCAAAATGAGTGGCAAAGCTGCCTGAACCCAGGCAGCCTGATATTTGTCTCCAGGCTCATCACTACTATGCTACATGTTATGCTATTTCAACACTAATGCACATTGCATTTTTGTTTACCTTGTTCCCCCCACCCCTTCCCCTTTAGCCTTTGTAGTCATAGTAGCATCCTTAGTGACTAGGACAGTGCTCCATAAAAACTACAAGTCATCTACCCAGTGAGTTATGCAATTCCCTAGAGAGAAGACAAATAGAAGTAATGGAGTGGATATCAGATTACATTTAGCTATAGCTAGGATTAGAGGCTTGTTTTGGAATTGGGTTTTTTTGTTGTTTTCTTGCTTGTTTTTGTGCTAGATATTGAATCCAGGAGCATAATTATACTACTGAGCTATAGCCTCAGCCCACAGTTTTGGGTTTTATCTGAGGACTAAGAAGATGGGAATCCAAGATAAGTAGAGGATGGGTTTAAGATAATATTGATGAAAAATAAATAAATAAAAATAAGAAGATATTGATGAGCTGCTGCTGCTCAGTGGTAGAATGCTTGCATAGCCTGCATGAGGTTCTGAGTTCAATTCTCAACATCATCAAAATTTAAAAGAATTAATTCACTGAGCGCATTGAGGACAAATCTAGAATCTTCATTTGTGTGTGTGTGTGTGTGTGTGTGTGTGTGTGTGTATGTGAGTACTGAGGCTTGAAGTCAGG